GTTTCAAGAAAAATATATCAATAAATGGAGAAATAAGAAATTAAGGAGTGAAAATTTAAAAGGAATTGAAGATAAAATAACAGAAAAAAGAAAACAATTAAAGTATGGAAAACAATTAATAATATAAGGAATGTATATTCAAATAAAGAAAAACAACAAATAATTGAATAAAAAAAAGTAATTTGGATAAATGAACAAAAATATGCAATGTGTAATATCTGTAATAAAATAACAACAATAAATAATATCATTCTCATTTGTATACTCATTAAACAATCACAGATGAATAAACATGGTAAAATAGGATAATATATGTGGAGAGATTTAAAAATTAAATTTAAAATATATAAAGATGAAGAAATAAAGAAAAAAAGAGAAGAAGAAAATACAAAGCAAAGAAGAAAAGAAGAATAGGGAAAGATAAAATACTTATGGTTTGAATCAAGAAATAATAAATAGGAAGGAAATTTAAATAAAAAGAAGCATTAATCATAGATATAACAATAGTAAGAGACAATAATATAAGTAAAACATTTACAGATAAAATATGTATATGAAATTACAAGAAAATATCAAAAATAGAAAGAATAATATAAAGATTAATAATCATTCCATTCGTAATAACAGTATGAGGATTAATAAACAAAAAACAGTTAGAATATTAAGAAATGAATGAATTAAAATTCGATTGAAAATAATGGTAAAAGATATTGTAATATCCAATATGAAAGATATTATGAGACATTGATGTAAATATTCAGGAAAATACAGTGATGTAGAAGAATTAAACTCGGGAGATGGTGAATGTTGTGAAGAAATTCTCAAATGAACAATAGGTTGGAATTATTATTAATTTATTATTTATATCATCACTGTTTTTTCTATTTCCATCATTATATTCTTGATTTTTTAATAATAATTAGCTAATGTACTACTGTACCAGAGAAAGTGAAATAAGAAATAACATATTAGATAGATGTTATAGTAAGAAGGGAATATGGAATAGAATTAAAAAAACATTAATTTATAAAATAAATGAAACAAAATAGAAGAAATAATAAATGAAGGGATTGAAAAGAAGAAAGAAAAAGAAGTAGTAGTAGAAATAAAAAAATTAATGATAAATACATCAAAATATGGAAGTGTCATCAAATTAGTGGATATTTTAGAAGATGGTTCGAGTCAAAAGGAGTAGATAAAACTACTACAATGAAAGCATGGAAGTCCATCAATATTAAAAAGAATGCATTTTTCTAATTAACTAAAATGCAAGATGGAGCAATATTTTGTGGGTATAGAAAGCAAAAATAATGAAAAATGAAAGATTGAAATACTGCACACTATGTAAATACAAGATAGCAACAGTAGAACACATATTACTATCTTGTATTTATCATAATAAATCACAAATGGAAAAATATGACAATATCGGCATTATCATATTGATTAATAAGAAAATACACAGGAAATAAACAATATAAAACCCCCATATGAAACAGTGTTCCAATATAAAGACATTACTATGATATGGAACAAACAAATAATGCCTAAAAATGAATGACAATATCACAAAAGACCAGACATATATGTAATAGATAAAAAGAATAAAACTGGTCTAATATTTGATATGACGATTGTGGCTGATCACAATATTAATTGAGAATATTGGAAGAAAAGAAATAAGTATAAGGAATTAAAGAATATTCTAATGAAAATAGAAAAATTAAAAGATGTCAAAATAATTCCAGTAGTAATTTCAATAAATGGATTAATGAATAAAGAAAGTAATAAATTAATTAAAGAGCTAAAAATTGACATTGACATCGAGAAAGAAATTAAAAGCATTGTCATAAAAAACATGATAGATGTCATGGAATATTGCTTCAATCATAACCAAACATACTCCTTAGAGATAATAAAAAATACTCATTGATGTGATTAGTCTCCCCTGAGCCAGAAACAATAAAAGTTATTTCTATTAATACTTAATTAATTGTTTATTATTTATTAATTTCATTTGATTTCTTTTAAAATTAATATCATCCAATATACCTTTTTCATTTATTATTATTCTTTCATATTATTTTATTTCATTCTTTCTATTATTAATTAGTATATTTCTTATTAAAATACGTCGTCATAGTCGGGATAATAGTTAAGACATTCAAATATTGTTTTATGTTTGTATTAGTGTTTGTGTGTATTTCTGATTTGTTAACTTTAAATAATTTATTACTATTTGTAATTGTCTTGAACTATCTATTAAACCTCTACCATTTTTAGTAGTTACTTTAATTTTTTTAACACATGTTATGGTTATAGTACATGTAAATCACAAAACAATACTAATATAAAAAACAAATAATTCTTCATTACAAATAATAGTTATTTCATTAAAGAAAAAAAAGAAGAACTTAAAAATAAGTATTATTTTATGTTTCAAATAAGTTGGACGTTTATTTGTTTTCTTTTTCCTCTTTTTTGTTTAACAACATACATTTCTCTTGATACTGGATTTACGCAATGTCATTCTGATTTTAATCAATTAAAAAGGATTGGAATCTATCAATTATTAAATCCTCAGATTATATCTAAAATCTTATTACTTATTATTTTGGTTGTTTGTTCTATTCGTATTACTCGAGGTTTGTTTTATTTTTATAACAAATGGGTTTTCTTATACATTAAATCAATAACTTAGCACGTGCTATTGTAATAATATCTATTATTATTGAATTTTTAAATGCTTATATACTTTTTAGTAGTCTTTATACTTTAATTATAATTAGTAAAATATATATGAACGATAAAAAATGTTCATTCAATGAAAGTAAATACAATGGTATCAGTGGGCATTATTTTACTTACATTTACTATTTTCAAGTATTAACCCACTTGGTTGATTCTATTTCATTAGAATTAAAAAATCCATTTTTTATGTTTTTTACAACAGAAGTTTTTCAAATTCAAAGAATTAAATTTTTTGAATTTAACTTCCATCCATTCCAAAAAAGTAAATCATTTCAAAGTGTATTTGGGATGCTACTTTTCTTTGGTTATATATTATTTTCATGGGGAACTCTTTTTGATACATTAATTATTGGATATCATACTCCTCGTCAAGTAATAATTGGAATTGTTTTAGGGATTTTATCTACTTTCTTATATCAGTTATTCATTCTAATACCATTTAAATTTCAAAGCCTATTAAATTCTTTATTTCTTATTATTGTAACAAGTTGTTATTATATATTAACTCATGAAGTTTTAAATGGAATAGAATGTGCAGTAGCTATTACTTCTTTAGTATTTACTGTAGTTATTGAGTATTATAATAATTACCAACATATAAATACTACAACAATGTTAATTTGAACATTAAATCGATTAAAAATTTATTGAGTTATTTTCACAAGATTCCAGCTTCGGTTAAAGTTTTTCTAACTTCTTTTGTTAATTTTTCAAGTTGAAGATAACCTTCTTCCATAACATTTTGAATTTGTGCATTTTCAACTTTCATTTTATTTTTATGAATCATAAGTCCTTCTTTTGAAAGTGCCATAATTCTTTCAATAATTAAAAATAATTCTGCTAATTCATTTTCTTTATATTTATGAATATTTTCTTTTGACAAAAAATATGTTAGATATAATCCAATTCCTCCATTTACATTAGCACTTAAAATACCCATTAATAATCTTTGTAATCCACTTACAGAAGCATTTTTATCTGATTTTAATTTACAGATATCATTATTAAGTCCTTGAATCATCATATCGACATCTGCAATACCAGTTTCTACTGGAGATAATGTTATTTCAGTTTTCTTAATAACAGCTTCTCTTTCCATAACTGATGGGAAATATCTATACGTCGTAATAATTCTTCTTGTTTTTACTACTTCTGCACCTTTTCCTTTAGCAATTTCATTTACAAATGTATTACATTTAACAAAGTCATTACTTACTCTTCCATCAACAAAACATTTAACATTATTTAATATAATTACAGGTTTATCTCCATTTGGATCAATTTGTTCTTTTTCAGCTTCAGCTTCAGACATAACAATAGCACCTGAAGTTTTGTGTAAAGTCTCTAAATATTGTTTAAATTCAACTAACTTTTGTTTACTCATATAAATATATTCATTTTCACAATCTAAAATTATTTCACGAGAATCAGTACTTGACACGCTATCATTATCATTTACTGTCTTTGGTTTTATTGCAGATAAAGCTTTTTGTGAATCAACAATATTAAAAATTTCATTAGTATCATTATCACGACTTTTAAATATTTTACCAAGGAATCTTACTGAATAAAAATAAAATGGTAATGAAATAGTTGTTCTCATTTCATAATACATTTTATGAATCATTTTGTGTTTCTCTGCTAATGCATTGTATTCATGGTTATTTGCAAAATATGGAATTATAAAATTACATAATGCAATTGCAAATTTCCTATGATCAGCTTTCTCAAACATTTCAATAGCATCATCAACTGCTGAAACAAATGAATTAGTGTTATCATCAAGTACAGTTGATGATAATCCAACAGATGAAGTTTTGTAATGTAGAAAATCTTCAGTAATTTCTCTTAAATAACTTTCTTTAAGAATTATACCACTTGGTTCAATAATAGCTTTATAAATAAAATAAATTTCATGAACAGCAGCAACTCCAGCTTCCATATAATTTTCTAATTCTTTTTGTTTCATATAAATTGTGTTATACCATTTTAAATGGAAATAAGGTGATTCCATTGAATTATCTGCAATACTTAAGTATTTTTCCATAACAACATCATTACCATAATTCTTTTCTTCTAACTCATTAAGTTTTTGTAATTCACATAAAATACTATTTGTTTGTCCTTCTAAAATCTTTAATTCAGAAATAAATTGATCACTTGAACTTTCTTCTTTCTTTTCCATTGGAGTTTTCTTTCCAAATCCTTTAAGTAAAGAAGAATATCCTTTCTTTGTCTCTTTTAATTTTTGAAGGATTTTAAAGTCATCATCACTTATAACATCAACAACATTAGAATCTATCTTTTCTAGTTCTATAATTCTTTCACATGCTTTTGATACATCCTCTTGATAATCATCTCCCATTTGAATTAGTTGTATAACTCTTTGTAATAATTTTTTATATTCTGTTTCTCGTTGTTCTCTATCTGTTTCTTTTTGGTATATATCTTGCATTTCTTGAATTTTTCTTGCTAATGAACTCTTCCAATTATCTTTTTCAACATATTGTTTAAATAACTCATCAAACATATATTTCTTTTGTTGTTTATTCTCAGCATCTCCATATTCTGTTTTAACAAATTGAATCATTTTTTCAATACTAGTAAATTGTTTCATTAACTCATTTGCAACAAGTATTCTTTGTGGTAATTCTGAAACACATTCTACTGGAAAATGAATAGTTTCATTTACTTCAATACACCATGCACAAATTTTTATTAATTGTTCTGATGCTGCAAATTCGGCATAAATATCTTCTTTATGAATAATTTCATTTTTATTTAATCCATCTAATATTGTTTGAATCTCAATTAATTCATTTAATAATGAAACAGCTTTTGGAAGAATAGTTTCCCATTGAACAAAAACAGTTTCCCATCCTGGCATTCCATTACATTGAAGATCTTCTTCTTTCATTTGGCGGTGTCTTCTATCAATATTGTCTTGCATTAATCTATATTGTTGAAGTGTATATTCAGCAACTTCAAGTAATGTTCCTTTTGTTTCAGCATCATTTTTAATTTTTTTATATTCTCCAGCAATTTCTAATCTATTTTTTTCTTGTTTTTCAATGAAATTCATTGCTTGTTCATGTGTAGAATTTTTTGTAGATGTTTCTGCTTGTAATCCTTTTAATCGAATTTTATTTAAATCAATAACCATTTGCATTGCAATCATTAAATTTCTTTGAGACAAATCAAATTTACTTCCAAGCTTTTCAATTTGTTTTATTAAATCAATTAATGTAGTTGTTTGTTTTTGTAATGACACTTGCATATTATTTAATGATTCTATATCAACATCTTCTTTTGTAAGTAATGCAGTTGCATCTCTCATACTAACCATCCATTCAGAAGCTAAATCCGATGCTTTACGTTCAAGAATAAATCCTTGGTCTTCTTGTTCAACTAATGGAATAACTTCAGTACATAATTTGTTAATTTGGTTGAGTACTTTACTATTTTCTGTCCATATTTCTTTTAAATACTCTAGTCCTCTTAATACACATCTTCTTTTACCAACTGACTGAATTTCTTTTTGAATAGAATTAACTAGTCTTAACTTCTCTTCATCACTAAACTTAATCCATGTATCTAATTGTGAATCAATCATCTTATTTGATTCAATTACTTGAGTTTGGTCAACAGAAAGTCGTTTCTTTGAAGCAAAATCTTCTTTTGCCCATTTTCCTAATAATTCAATTGCTTTATGAATAAAGCCATCAGAAGCTTCATTATTAACAGAAGAAATTGATTCATTTGAATGAAGATGAAGATCAAATAAACTACTGATAATATGAATTTGAGTAATTCGTGTAGACTTATCATTTCTCTCATAATCCTTTTTTGTAAATAAATAGAGAGTAGCAATAGCTTCTTGTCTTAGTGGAGCAATTTTCTTAGTACATAAACAAATTAATCCATTAACAATATCAAAAGCAAGCCTAGAATTACTCTGGAATAAAAATTCTGTTTTTTCTCGAATAATAAAACGAATATAAGAAAGGAATAATGGATAATATGTATTTGTCATACATGTATTAAACAATGACTTTCCTAATACATAAAAAAGTATAGAAACAACAGGAAGATCATCCCGAGTAAAATACATTTTAAAAATAGTGTCAACAATTTCTAATGCAACCAAATTAACATTGTCAATAATCATTTCATTACCAAGTAATAAATCACACGAACTAGTTAATGAATAGACATAAGGAATAGTTCCTAAGTCTTTACCTTCACATAATTCATCTCTACTTTTTCTAAACATATCTGCAAATTCATTCATAAGAAAAGTTTTATTGTTTTTTAATGAACCAATAACATTAAGTCCATCTTTAGTAACAGTCAATATAGTTTTGAGTAAAGACTGATTTGTTTTTCTAATTAAGTCAGAAAGTGTTTGATGTGATAGATTTTTAAATACCCAGAAGAATAATAAATAAAGTATTTGTAAATAATTTCCTGAAATTTCTGGTGATTGTTCTAACACTACTTCAGAAGAATTTGTTGTACTAACATCATCCACTTGGGCATGAGTAGTAGTTACTGTTTGGGCTCTATGCCATCTACTTACCATTCTTTTATACTCAATACAAACATAATTTACATAACTAAAGTACATTTCAGCAATGCATGATCGTTCTTCTTCAGTCCATCCTCTATAAGTATCCATTTTAATGATTTGCTCAGCTAAAACCATCAATGCATATTTACAAACACTATCATCTCTTGCCATTGAATCAGTTAAATGTTGAACAGTGAATTCAACAAAATAATGTTTATTGAAAATATTTTCAATAAATTTAGCACAAGATGTCATTGGTGAAATGGTAGGAACATTAATTTCATAAAAATATACAAATTGATGTAAATCTCTAATAAAATCAATCTTTAACAATTGAATAATTTTCCAAGATTCATCACTTTCATTACCATATTTACTGTTTTTAGGATTAAATAATGTTGTACTTTTGTTTTCATAAAAACATGAAAGAGTATTAATATAAGATTCTAATGCTTCCATTGTAGTTGTTCTTGAATAAAATCTCAATAAATCCTTTAAAAATTGACCTATAATATAATTCACATAATTTAAATAAGAATATCTTTTAGATTGAACTGATTTTCTAATAAAAATAGCTAATTGTTCAAATAGATTAATTAATTCAGTTTTAAATTGTGTTGATATTTGTGAATATTGAATAGCAATTAATTGAAATCTATTTTCTTTTTCAAAAAGGTCTTCTTTTTGCATCCAAAACAATAATGATTTTATTATAATTTTTAAAAAGAAGTTAAGATGTTTTGCAATACTGACATGAATACCATTTACTGAAAGTGCTGCAACTAATGACCTTGTTAAAGAATCAAATATCATTTCTTTTTGAGGTTGAGTAAAATCTTCTTTAAATTGTTCTGTTACAAAAGACTCTTTTAAAGAATCATCTTCTACAGCATCCATTAAATGAAGCATTGATAATACCAAATTTTTTCCAGATTCGACATTAGATATTTCATTATTAAATAATTGTAACATTAATTTCATTAATAATGGGAATGAATGAATTAATTGATTTTTATATGGTTGATTCTTTTTAAGTTGAGAGAATAATTCTAAAACATTATCAATACTTTTAAAAGAATTGGTGTCAACTGAACGAATTAATTTATATACTGTTTCATCTTGAACCATAAATTGAGTAAGAAAATTAAGACGAACATGTAAAATCATTTTTTTTGTATCAGGTAATTTTTTAGCATTTAAATATGATTCCATTATTGGTCCTTTAAATAATTCAATTTTATAAACATCGTTTTGAATTAAATGTCCATGTTCAAATAATGGAAGAAATCCAAATCGAGTTTCTTTAGTATTTGGATCTTCTTCAAAAACATCATCAACAATAAATAATAAATGATGTGAATCATTAATATTTAAAGGTAATTTTAATTTTGCTTCATCAAAATAAATATTATTTTTTGAATAAGGAGCAGCTGTTGTAAAACTTTTATCAAAAGGTCTTCCTGGAAGAATAGGATAAAATACTTCTAAACTTTTTGATTCAGGAATTGTTTGAGTATCTTGTAAATATATTTTAACAACTGCACTGTTAAATTTTTTCTTTAATGAAAATGAAGATGATGTAACTTTTAATGGATAAATAAATAAGTTGTGAGAAAAATGATTTTCTCTCATTTCTAATGGTTGAAGAATACGTGTTGAATTTTCAGTAACTTCATTTTCTGAAATTCCATGATCATTCCAATCAACTATATTTTCCATTTCTTCAAGACTAATTTGCGTTATTTTCATCTTCCATTCTCCATTAATTTGTTTTGATTTAACAGACGGAGAAAATAATGTTGCTATATCTTCTTCTTTTTCCATTTTTAATTGACAAAATCCTAGTCTTGGTGCAACACTTAACTTCCCGTCATTTGAAAATTTAAAATCTGCAAATCCAACACAAACATATTGTAAATACATATTATCCATTATAAACTTTTTTACTTCTCTTGGTTTTATATTTTTCTTTTCTGTAAAATAAAGTTCTCTTTGAAATAAATCAGCTTCAGCATTTTTATAAATTGTTAAAACCCCTTTTAATTCATGATTACTATATTTATTTACTTCTAATGGAAGAATAAATTTATTAACATCTCTTTGTGTATCTTTAGCTGTAATCCATTGTCCAGAAACTCTAACATCAGAATTATTAATATCAACTCTAAAACTTTCTGTTATTTTTATAAATTTTTTTTCATGTTCATTATAATCATATACAGCAAAATATCCATATAATGGCTCTATAAATCCTTTTGCTGATGTACATACTCCAAATTGAATATCTGTAATTTGGCACAAATAATATGAAACAACATTATATGTTATTGGTTTAATAGGTGTAATATTTAATTTAGTTTGAGTTCTTACCATATCAAATAATGGTTCTCTTAATGTTCTTCTATCTTCAATACAATTATCATTATTTAATAATGAAATTGAGACTTCATTTGCTATAGTTTCATCTCCATCAAAATTAACATAACGAGATTCAAAAGGTTTTGGAGGTTCAAATATTACTTTCTTCATTATGACATTAGTTAAATCAGCAAATAATATATCTATAAACATTTTTACTATAGAGTCATTTTCTATTGATGAAATTCCTTCAATATATTTTAAATGACTTTGTTCTGGTCTTTTTTTTGTTACAAAAGTTATATCTTTAGGACTTAAAATATTAGAAAAATAAGGAATTCGATCTTTATCTTCAAGAAGTTGTGATTCAAATAATACAGAACATTGATTTCTTTCATTACTTTTCTATTCATTTAATAAATTTTGTTTAATAAAATAAAGTCTTTTAAACAAACTTCTTTCAAGCTGTTTTTATTAGTTTCAATATAATCATTAAGTTGTGCAAAATCTGTAAATGGTAATCTAAAGTTATATTGTAATATTTCAGAAAGTATTTTCTTAATATCTTCTTGAGACAAGTACAGTCCTTTTTCTTTTGCAAAATATCTTCTTAATTGTTCTGTATTTAATTCACTTACACATTCAGTATCATAACAATCAAAAATTTTTCTGAGCTGTGCTGTCTTTTTAGCGTCAGCTACTGTTCGACGTTTATATCTAATATCAGACAGACCAGGTGATAAACTCATTATTTTACAATTACTTTTTTTAGTTTAATTTATTTTTTTCTTATTTTTTTTTCTCTTTAAAAAAAATTTTTTATTAACCATTTTACTTTTTTTATTTTTTTAGTTTAAAAGAAATTTAATTAATTGAAGAACGTTCAAGTTCCCTTTCTTTTCTTTCTTTCTTGTCTGTTTTGTCTTTCTCTTTATCTTCTTTCTTTTTCTTGCTAAATAAACTTAGTTTGAATGAATGACCTTTCTTCTTAGTGTCAGAGTCTGTTGGTTCAGCTTTTGCTGGCTTTGGAGTTGCTTTTCTAGTAAGGAAATTGCCTCTTTGCTCTTTCTTTTCGGTTTTAACAATCTCAACACAAAATTGAAGATTTGATGAATTGACATTTTGCATTGTTTCTGATGATAAAAGACAATGAACTTCTGCTCGTGGATTTTGAACATCAACAAATAGATTTAATGATCTAATATATTCACTTCTCTTATAAATTGGATTTGTTGTTGGTGCAAGATAAACTGGTCTTGAATAATTCAAAGCGGCATGTCTTATAAGTCCTGGTAAGGATGCGGGAGAAACAAGTTGTTCTTTAACTAAAACACCACAGGGAGAATTAGTCATAACTCTGAGAACATCAGATTGAGTTGGAAGAATAATAATAGTAAATTTACCCTCAATAGTTTCAATTTCAGTGTCATATGGAGAAGAATTCCAAAATACAACAATGTTATCTGCATCAACAGCCTCTTCTTCATTTAATCCACCAAGGGTATTAATATGGAATACCATTTCAGCTTCTTCATTTGAATAATACATGAATTTTTGATCACCTCCAGCGTATAACCCACTAAATCCCTTGTGTGTTTGAGGGTCAACAATATGTCCTAATCCACGAATAACAGAATTATAAATTGGAGATGGTGCAGATGAGTCAGGACCATATAAAATAGTAACACCAATCAAATTTCTTGTTGGAAGTACATCAAGTTCCAATAGGCTAGTGATCAAATCATCACTTAAACCTAATGGATGAAGTTTTTCTCCAGATAAATCAACCAATCCAAGTGCCCCTATAAGTGTTCTTGAAATAATAGCTTTACAGCAAAGATTAGTATTGTAAAGAGCAGATGCAGGGAGAACATCTTCATTTTGAGCTACATGAGGAACATTATTGGATGCCTTTTCTGCAGTAACTATTTTATCTAATGAAACTGTATTAAATTCTTCAAGCCATGAAACTGGTATTTCACTTTCTTTCATAACTTCATCATTTCCCTTTGTTAACACACCACTAATAACTGTTTTTTTGTTTTCATCATGAGTTAAGTGTACATAACGAGCAGTCTTACCATATTTTGTTCTAATAATAACAATAGCACTTCCTTTTTCCCAAGGAAGTTCAGCAACTGTAATTACAGCTTGGTCTTTGTAAACAAATATTTTCATAAATTCATCAAAGGCTTGAATTTGATGATCATTATATGCATTCATAAGAATTACTTCATTCATCTCTTCGAAATAATCAACAACATCAATTTGTAATGAAGAAAGTAATGACTGAGGGAAAGTATAATTCTCTAATGAAGCTCTTTTTTGTTGATCATTAAACCAAGCACATATCTGACCACATAGTCCAATAACTTTTAACAATGTGTCTTGTTGAATAAATGAATAACAAGCGCCAAAGTAAATTGAATACACTTGTAAGAAATCATCAATAATTGGAGATGATTTATAATATGTTTCAATGAATGAATGAATTATCATCAATAAATCTAATAAAACTTTATGCTCTCCTACTTCTACTAACACAGTTTTTAATACTCTCATCATTTCAGTAAATGACTCATGTAATCTTTTTTCTACTAAAGCACCAACAAATTTATAAATATTTTTTTCAAGGACTGGAATAAATTGCTCTACAATAGTTGACCCATCCCTTGGAACAATATCATTGAAGAATCTAGAAAGTAACACAAACATATCTTTCAAATTAACTGGATTTGTTTCTGTTTGTAAGAAAACTTCACAAATAGCCAAAAACTGTTTTGAAAAATTACTAAAACAAAAAATAGTATCTGTTCCTACTTCATGACAAGCAATTTCTTGTCTTTGTTTTGAGAATGAAAGATGTATTAATCCAAGTAATTCAATGCAACTTGTCCTTGTATCTAAACTTCCAGGATCAACCATATTTGAAATTCTTTCAGCTGCTTTTATAATTGAAGGATAAATAATTTCTTGTGAAGGGAATGATAATAAAAGAAGTTTGTTAAGTATTTTAATACCAGACAAAATGATCTTTCCATTTCTAGATAATATAGCCTCACTCATTACCTCATATAGTATTGACAAATTTTCTGGTCTGAAGGTAGTTCTTGCAGTAGTTACTCCAAATACTGTTCCTATAGTAGTTACAGCAACATTAACTGCAAGTTCATATCTTATATGATCAAGACAAAGAACAACTTGTGCAAGTGGTTCTCCAAATAACTTAATTATGGTATTTCCATCTGGTGCATTTGGATATCTTCCATCTTTATAACACTCAATCATATTTTTTACAAATAATGAAATACCATCAGTAATAACTAATACAACTGCTGCGTCTTGTAACTGTGCAGGAGTACCACATAAATGAATAAATCGAATCCATGTTTTTAAGAAGTATTTTAAAGTATAATGAGCATCTATTTGTACTTTTTCATTTGTAGTTACTAAATTAACATCATTTTGTTTTGACTCTACAGCAGCTAAGAAAGTTTTTTGTAAACGTAATGTTATATCAACCCATGCCAATGCCACTTCTTTTGTTTTAGCCCATACTTTATGACATTCTTGGAAAACACCCCATAATTCTTCATCTGCTTCCCCATAATTAAGCCAAACCTCATAAACTGCATGAATTAATTTTTCAGCAATATAAGAAATAATTACATTTTGTGAATTTACATGTTGTTTACCACAAACATCTTGCATACAACCTAATAAACAACATACTAACTGTCTAGACATATCACTTCCAGGTTTATATCGTGTTCCAATAGCTCTTAAAATAGAAATTGCTCTTAAACATAATTCAGCATATCCATTAAGACTTTCAGCACTTCCACTTCTCTGATACAATAAATTAGTGAGTTGGGCCATAGCAATTCTATCATAATGATCTCTCATTTCTTCAATTGGAGTTGGTACATTTTGTAAATTGATAAACCACTCTTCATATAAAGAGATACAATGTGCAATAGTTTTATGATCATCAACAGGGAGGGTAAATCCACACCCAATAACCTCCATTACCCATTTACAATGGTCATGAGTACATAATTTACTTTGAAATTCTTGTAAATTTGATATAATTTCTAATGAAACACTTTGAACAATAATTCTTTGAATTTCGACTTTAAAAATACGCACAATATCAGTGTTTAAATCAATTTGCATTAAATTTAATTCTCCTAATGTTGGTGAAAACATAGTAGATTTTATAAAATTTTTAAGTTCTTTTTAATAAATTTTATTTTTTGTTAATTAAAATGTTATAAAAACCAATCAATCATCATCTATTCCATTTTTCATTTCTAATAATCGTTTTTCACCTTCATCAATACTTAGTTCACTGTTTCTTGGCTTTATATCATCTTCTAAAAAGCTTGCCGTTAATCCTTCATCACCAAAACGTTTTGTATATTTTTCAACTTCTTCTCTAACACGAGATGCTGCACGTTCTTTATCATTATCAATCGAATCAACAATGTTTTGTTTTTTGTTTTCTCTACATGTTAATGCCTTCTACAAAGCATTTCATTCTAAAAAACAAACACTAAGTCATAACTAAACGCTGATTTTCTATTTAATGTAAATCGTTTGTTACAAATTAATAATGATGTTGTTTCTCCAATTGTTTGTAAACGTGCAGTAGAGCTTGTTCCTTTAAAACAAATTGGAGGTCTCGAAAAGAAATCCATTCTTCTCTTTGGTTTTGTTTGTTCTAAATACTTAAGATCATCTAAAGGATCAAAGTCAATAGGATAGTCTTGAGGAACTCTTATTCTTACATTTCTACATCCATTTGTTTTTGTATTATATGCTCTAAATACTATTTCAATGAAGTCTTGTTGTTGCATGAAAGAAAAGAAATTGTATTGAGTTTTAGCCATTCATTAAACTTAAAAAAATAAAAATCTAAAAAACAAATAAGAAAAATAAAAATAAAAAATAAAATCTTATAATTCATAATGTTGTTGTTCTTTGCAATCGTTGTCCTTTCTAATGGTATTATTACTCCTACAACTACCCCTGTACAACCTAATGTGACTTCTTCTAATAACACTGTTCCTGTTAACAATACCATTAATAATACTACTACTCCTGTTAATACCACAAAACCAATTAATCCAATTCAAATGACTATTAACAAAATAAAGAAAGATGTAGCTTCATCAAATAAAACAGTTAAACCTTCAGAAATTAAGGAACAAACAAAAAAATCACTTGATGATTTAAAAAAGAAGAAGTTTGAAGTAGAAGCAAAAAAAATAGCTGTTGCTAAGGCAGAAAAAATTAATGAAAAGAATAAAAATAAAGAACGAAAGGTTCGTGAATTAAAACAATTACGAGAAAAACAAAAGAAACTTGAAGGATTTAATAAAAGAATTCAAACCGAACAAATGAGGGATTATTTAAAGGAAAAAGAAATTATCAAAAAGAGATATAGAAAACAAATTAAACAATTGTATAGCGATATGACTACTCAAACTGTTGATTATCCTTCTAAATTTGCAAAAGAAATTAAAAAAATTATTGGTTAATTCAAATAACATTTTTTATAATTTATTTGATATTTTTATGTTATATTAGATATTATATTATCACTGAGACTGAGAACTTATTTTATTTAATTAATGAACTCAACAATAAAAAGAATATCTGTTGTTCTTTTAGGTGATCATGGTGTTGGAAAAAGTAGTGTAGCTATTCGATTTGCAACAAATGTATTTATGTCTGAATATTCAATACATCCTAAACAAATACAAGTTTCCAGAGTTTCAGTTGATGGAACTGATTATGACATTGGTGTTATTGATACAAATGCAACAATGACAATTCAAAATGATGATCTAATAATGAAAGGAGATGCATTTGTTGTCATGTATTCTGTCACAAACAAAAATTCTTTTCTTCATTTACCATTATACTTAAATCGTATTTATGAATTACGAAAAGACCATTCTAAAACAATCCCTATTATTATTGTTGGTAATAAATGTGATGAAAAGCGACGTGAAGTCATTTATGAGTCAGGACAATTATTTTCAGATTCAATCTCATGCTTATTTATGGAAACGTCAGCATTAGATTATACAAATATTAATCACTTATTTGACATAATTATTAGGGAATGGGTTTCATTTCATCCAGTAGAGAATAATACTTCATGTGTGGTTGCTTAAAACAATGAGTTTTTGACTAATTTATTAACACTGTATTAACTCTTTTATTTTTATAAAAAAATTAAAAACATTCACAAAAGAAAAATCAATTAATGGCAACAGTCACAATCAAAAGGGCATAATGGTGTATTTCCCCCAAATTTATTTTTGTCAAGTCCAAGTTCTTCAAGGGTGTAAATACGATATCCTTCTTCAGTTCTTCTAATTTTTTTCTTTCCACCCTTTTCTTCTTTTTTTCTAGCTTTTTCTTCTTCTTTTTGTTTTTCTGCAGCAGCCTTTCTTTGCTTTACTTTCAACTCACTAAAAATATCATCAATATCACTTTTAGCTTCTCCTTTCTGTTGACTTTTTAGTGGTGTTGTTTTTTTAGGTTTTGTTTCTTTGAGTGAACCTTTACTGATTTCAGTTTGAAAAGAAACTACTCTAGATGATTTAGTTCTCATTATGAAAATAAGATTTTTTTTCTGAGAATGAAAAAAAGATAAACCCTTTTTCATTCTTAAACAAAAAAGTAAATTTAATGGAATTGTAATGCTTTTGATTGTTTGATATATTGGAATGGGATATACCCAAAAGCATAAACACATACCCCAAATAAGGCGACTGAAGTTACTCCAGAAGTTATTTTTTTAACCAGTGGTTTTTGCATAAAAGAAACAATTATTTTTGAAGGAGTAATGAAGAGGTAAATAGAAAGGTCAATAGTTTGCTGAATTTTTTCTTTAACCCAAAGAGCAGTTTTAACTATAATGACTAATGGGAATTTTTGCCAATTGTTTTGTGTGGTTGTTGTATGAATTGGTTCAATATCAATTATTTCATCGTCATCATCATTTTCTTGAATTTTTACATCATCCCCATTCTCCTCTTTTGGTTGTTCTTCTTGGATAATAACAGGCTTTTCAGAGTCACTCATTAAACTGAATAATTAACAGTGATAGAATCTCTTGAAATTTGATTTTTCTAAAAAGATTCAGTTTTTTGAAGTATAGAAAAACATTTTTTTAAATAACAAAAATAAAAGTAAAATAAATTTAAAAAAAGAACTTAAAAATAATTGTTTTGAGAAATGGCTGAATATATTGATATGGATGTAGATGATGTTTTATCTTTTGAAGCTAGATCAGGTAGTACTAGTATGGGACTCCCATTAATTATCGAATCATTTTTAGCGAGTTGTTCTGCATTAACTGGAATTGTTATATTGCATACTGAAAAAACAAATTCATATTGTAAAGCATATGCACTTCAATCAATCTTCTTATTCGCTGTTTTTTTTATAGTTTCATTACCATTTTTAATTTTATGTCTTGCTGTTGGTCATGCATTCCAAACAGTATATTTACTTCTTCTTTTCAGTTATATTGTAATCAAATTATTCTTTGTTGTAATGGCTGTACTAAGATCAAAGTCTGAATCATTTATCGGTATTCCTGGTCTTGCTACATGGATTTATTCAACTGCTGCTCGTTATTAATAACAAAATATTTTACAATTCTCCATCTTTTTTTTGTTTTATAAAAACAAAAAATAATAATAAATAACATAAAATATTTGCTTGAAAGAAATATAAATAATGTGAAAATAAAAAGGGTTTTAATAGGTTTTTTCTCTTTCTTAAATAGACAATAATTGTTCATGAGAAGAGCTCAATTCACATTGTTTAAAGCACCTCATGAAAAAAGAGATAATGAGTTAGAGGGAAAGTATTGGGATGATTTTACACCTGTTTCTTCTTATACATATCCTTCTCCTAAATGTATTAGATTTTCTCCTTCTCAAAAACAAACATTTGCCGTATGTAGTGGAATGAATGTGTTTGTTCATTCAAGTACAGAAAGTCAACCTAAAGTAATTACTCGACATAAAGATTTTGTTTATACTTGTGAATATAGAAATGATGGAGCCTTAATCAGTACTGGATGTGCAGATGGTAAAGTACGTGTATTTGATTCAACTAATAAAACATTATTAAGGACATTGTCTGGTCATTCTGCTGCAGTAAGAACGGTTTGTTGGGGTAAAGAAATGTTATATTCTAGTGGAGATGATATGGTAGTTAAAGCATGGGACTTTACTACTAAGTCAGTCATTGGTTCATATGCCAATCATACAGATTCTGTTCGTTCTATAGTTCAATGTCCAACAAATCCATTTCTTATTGCGTCTGGATCGTATGATCATACAGTTGTTTTGTATGATACACGTTCAAAAAATTCAATTAATGTATTTAAACATAAAAATCCAGTCGAAGATATTGTATTTCATCCAGTCGGTACTTTAATTGCTGTTGCTAATGGACAAATGATAACAGTATGGGATTCTACTACAGGTTCACAAATTTCAGATTATAGTTATCATACAAACCTTGTAACTAATATTCTTTTTGATACCGATGGGAATAGATTATTCTCTTCATCATTAGACTGTTCAATTAATGTTTATGAAACAACAAATTATAGTAAATTACATAATATTGTCTATCCATCACCAATTCTTTCATTTGATATGAATAAAGACTCTACTGCTTTTTCTGTAGGATTAACAAATGGAGAAGTTATTTTATTTGCAAAACAACAACCACAACAAACAGAGAACCATGCCGCATCATCAGCAAAATATTTCTTCCAAGGTAAAACCCAAACATCAGAAGAAAAAAAAGAACCAGCAATTAATAAAACTCAAAGCGACATTTCTGTAAATATCAGAAAATTTGATTATGATGATGCTCTTGATAAAGCATTAGCAACAAAAGATGAAACAATTATTATTTCTGTTATAAGAGAAATTTTATATAGAAATGGGTTGAAAATTGCATTATCCCGTCGTGATGAAAATACATTAGAACCTTTAATGACATTCTTAATAAATACCCTTCCAAGTCCATTACATACTAAAATTCTTGTTGAGGTTATGTCTCAATTATTAGACTTATATGCTCAAGACCTTGGTAAAAGCGTTGTTTTTGATGAAATGTTCTTTAAAATGCAAAAAAGACTCGAAAAAGAAATTCAACTAAATAAAAATATGCAACAACTTCTTGGTCAAATTGACTTAATTATTGGAGCTGCAGATTGTGCTAGAAGTAAAAGTGATTGAGTTAGATTTTTGTCATTGTTTATTCTTTTTTATCTTTAACTTTCTCACTTTTCATACTTTCTAATCTTCTTGAAAACTTGATTTAAGAGATTATAAAAAATTTAAAAAAACATAAATAAAGTAAGATTTTTTCAAAGACAAAAAAATAATAAAGTTATACATATCAAAAAAAAAACAAGAAAAGAAATAAAAAAAAAAGAAAAAAGGAAGGAAAGGAATTTGAGATAGATGAATATTTTCATTAATAAGAAGAAAGACAATAAAATAAGATATTCATTGATAAAGAGTAAAAAGTGAAGTGTTTGAATATTGAAACAGATAAAATAGAAAGAAATTAAAGTTAAGAAAAAGGGTAATAATAAGATGGATTAAGTTGTATTAATGTTAATCAACTATAATAGTATTTTGTTTTGTATGAACAGATGGATTAGTTATGCTTGGGTTAGTTTCTTTTAATTTAATATAAGCCTTTTGTAATATTTGTTGTTCGTACTGTGTAAAATCATTTAATGGGGTTGAAGAATGAAGATATGTGTTTTTTAAAATTTCGATATTAGATTCCTTCATTTCATCATTAAACACATTCCCATGTTCATTTTTCATTTCAATTTTGGTTATTGTGATATCGTTCTTAAATAAAACAAAGCACATTTGGTCTTTAAGAGAAACACCAACAACATCACCAAGTGTCATGCATTTCTGTCTGATAAACTCTTTGTTAAAATATCCTTTTGGTACTTTATTACTCCAAAAAATTCTGATACTTCGTTTAATAGATGATGGAGCTTTGTTTTGTCGATGAAAATACCATTTTTTGATTAATTTTGCAACTCTGTCTCCTTCAATTCGTTTATTATGTTCTTTAAACAAATCTTTTATTTTTTCTGATTCTTGATATTGTTTCTCTTGTTGGAGAAGTTCATCAATCATCTTTTTTCTGTCTGCTTCCATCTCTTCTATTGCTTTTCTTGTAGCTAATTGACTTGTAATCATTTTATCATATACTTTTCTTGTTTCAGTGTCAAGTAATGTGTCTTTAATCAATTGAAGTTTATGGAACTTGTCAAAATCACTTGGTTGAGGGTTTTTAATTTTGTCTGGATGTGTGTGAAGTACTTTAGCTTTGTATGCTTTTCTAATTTCTTGGTCATTGGCGTCTTTAGAAATACCAAGAAACTCATAATAATTCAATGAGTCATCCATAATTCACAGTAATGTGAATATTTTAAGATTCAAATAATCATATTTTTATTAAATAAAGACGAAAGATAATAATCAATACTACTAAGCTTAAAATTAAACATTCTGTTATCAAATAGATATAGTCTAAAGGAATTGATTATATTTTGTTTTAAATAAGAAAATGAATAAAAGAAATGTGATAAAATTCAATTTCAGTTAGAAAAGAAATAATGAAAAAGAAGAAGTGATATAATAATGTAAATAATTCAATAAAAACAAGCAAAGAAATTAATTAAATATCATGGAAACCATTAATACGAGATGGATTAATTTGATTTGGAATAAATACAGGAGCAAGATATGGTTGTTCAAGATCATCATCATACATTGGAATGATTGGGTCATAATCTCTATTTGTTCCTTGATATTTCTTAATTTCTAAAGAATCTCCACATCTATCTCGACTCCAAAATTTAGTAGTTTGATCATGAGCACAAGATGCTAATAAATGACCAACAGGATGCCATTGTAAATCCCAAATAGCCCCATCATGAGCAACAGGAATTTCACCAATAGGTTTAGAATGTTCAGTGTCCCAAAAATAAATAACACCATTTGCACCTCCAGAAACAAAGAAATCTTCTTGAATTGGATGCCAATTGACAATTGTAACATCTTTCATATGCTTTTCAAAAATCATTAATGGTTTATTAAACATACGAATATCATGTAAAATTATTTTAAAATCTTTAGAACATGTTAAAAACCATTTTCCATTCTTATTCCATCTAACTTTGTTAATTTCAGTCTTGTGAGGAGAAAACATACCTACTTTTTCTTTTAGTCTTGGATCCCATATTCTTACTTTTCCTTTAGAACTACTAAGTAAAAGAGATTCTGTAGGATGCCAATCAACAGAATAAACTGCATTTTCACTTTCATCAAATCTAATTTCACAAACTTGTTTATTAAAATCCCAAATTCCAATTGTTTTATCATCACTACAACTTGCAAATCTAAGGTCATTAGGTGAAAAACTTACTTCTCTAATAAGTTCACTATGTGCTGTCTTAAGAGTAACAACAGGTGCAAGTGATGGATTCCAATAAATAATACTACTACTTCCATTACTTCCTTGTTCTCCACTTACCATATGTCCTCCACTGTGACTCCATGTCATACATCTTACAGCTGTGTCATGTGCTCCACTTAAACATGCAAAATTAAATTGAAGACCATTCCAAAATGTAAATTCTCCTTTTTCATTACCAGTAACAATTCTTCTTCCATCAGGAGTCCATCTCATACAATAAACAGGTGTTTTATTTTTATTAATTGACGTATGTACAAATTTTGTAGTTATGTTAATTCCTGGATTTGAAGTACATAATATTGGTGGTTGAAGATATCGGGTATATGAATAATGTTGATGACAATAAGGAACTCTACTTGTTTGACAATACATAGAATATGTTGAGTCCATTTCCGAATGGCAACAATTGAAGTCAATACATCTTCTTTCTCCTTGGTGTTGTGGTGGTTGATCAATAACACCTTTTTCCCCATGAAGCCATCTATCAAATAATGTTTCATCATATTTCTTCATAAGGTCACTTTGTTTTTCAAAATAATCTTGATACTTTTTAAATTGATTGCATTGCTCCTCTTCTGCCATTAAATTAACTTATTTTCTTAGTTTCTATATAAGATTTTTTTTTAAAAAAAAAGAGAAAGAAGAGAAAACTAAAAAGAACGAAGAAACACAAGAAGAAAAGAATGCAAAATACCCCAAATGAAGAAGCATGGGAAAGTAAATTTAGTGCATTACCATTTTTTAGTGATGAAGAACAAATAAAACAAGGAAGAGAATTATATAAAAGATATTTAGGGGAATATCCAACGGCAGTGAATAGATGGTGTGAGTATATTGATTTAGAAATGAAATATGGACATAATGATAGTGAAGTAGAAGAGATATTCCGAAAGTGTTTAGTTCAAGTACCAGATGTAGAGATAGCAAAGAGATATATCAAATATATTAATACATGTTATGATGATACAGAAAGAGAAGATATTGATGATATTGAATTAGCACGATTCAAGAAGATTCAAGAAGGAGCATATTCGTATGCAATCAAAATAGTTGGACTTGATTTAAATGCATCAACAATATATCGAGAATTTATGGAATTTTTA